AAGGATCAATGAAACAAAAAGTTAGCTCTTTGAAAAGACAGACAAAATTGATAAACTGCTAGCTAGGCTAATTAAGAAAAGAAGAGAGAAGACCCAAATAAACAAAATCAGAAAAAGTGGAGACATTACAACTGATATTACAGAAATACAAAAGATCGTCAGAGACTATTATGAACAACTATACTCTAACAAACTGAAAAACCTAGAGAAAACTGATAAATTTCTAGAAACATACAACCTAACAAGACTGAATAAGTAAAAAATAGAAAACCTGAACAGACGTCAATGACAAGTAGTGAAATTAATCTGTAATAAAAAAGTCTACCAACAGAGAAAAGCCCAAGACTGATGGATTCACAGCCAAATTCTACCAAATATACAAAGAATAACTAATATCAATCCTCCTGAAACTATTCTTAAAAATCAAAGTGGGGGGAATTTTCCTTAACTCATTCTGTGAGGCCAGCATCATGCTGATAGCAAAATCAGACAAGGATGCAACAATAACAAAAAGAAAACTACAGGCCAACATCCCCGATGAACATAGAAGAAACAATCATCAACAAAATACTAGCTAACAGAATCCAACAGCACATGAAAAAGATAATACATGATCAAGTGGGATTTATCCCAGGGATGCAAGGACGGTTTAACATATGTAAATCAATAAATGTGATACATCTCATCAATAGACTGAAGGACAAAAACCATATGATCATCTCAATGGTCATAGAAAGAGCACTTGATACAGTCCAAATCCCTTCACGAAAAAATTTCTCAACACGCCAGGCATAGAAGGAATATATCTCAAAATAATAAAGCCCATATATGACAATTCCACAATTAACATTGTACCAAATGGGGAAAAGCTGAAAGCCTTTCTTCTAAGAACTGGAACAAGATAAGGATACCCCATTCACTACTTTTATTCAACATAGTACTGAAAGTTCTAGTCAGAGAAACCAGGCAAAATAAATAAAAAACATTCAAAGTGGAAAAGAGAAAGACAAATTGTTCCTCTTTGCTGATGGTATAATTTTTTTTTTTTTTTTTTTGACAGGGTCTCATTTTGTCACCCAGGCTGTAGTGCAGTGGTATAGTCATGACTCACTGCAGCCTCAACCTCCTGGGATTCAAGCAATCCTCCCACCTCAGCCTCCAGAGTAGCTGGTACTACAGGCACATGCCACCATGCCCAGCTAATTTTTGTATTTTTTGTAGAGATGGGGTTTTTCCATGTTGTCCAGGCTGGTTTTGAACTTCCGAGCTCAAGCAATCCACCTGCCTTGGTCTCCCAAAGTGCTAGGATTACAGGTGTGAGCCACCATGCTCAGCCTGATGATATGATCTTATATCTAGAGAAACCTAAAGACTCCATCAAAAAACTCTTAGATTTGATAAATGAATTCAGTAAAGTTGCAGGACAGAAATCAATGTACAAAAACTAGTAGCATTTCTATACACAAATAATGATTTAATCAAGAAAGAAAGAAAGAAAGAAGTCAATCCCATTTACAATAGCTATTAAAAACCCTAGGAATAAATATAACCAAGGAGGTGAAAGATCTCTACAAGGCAAACTACAAAACACTGATGAAAAAATCATAGATGACACAAACAAATGGAGAAATATTCCATGCTCATGGATCAGAAGAATCCATATTGTTAAAATGACCATATTGCCCGAAGAATCTACAGATTCAATGCAATCTGTATCAAAATACCAACCTTATTCTTCTCAGATTACAAAAAACAATCCTTCTTTCTAAAAAAAAATTTTTTTTAGACACGGTTTTCACTCTGTCACTCAGGCTGGCATTCAGTGGCGTGATCTTGGCTCACTGCAATCTCTGCTTCCCAGATTAAAGTGATTCTCCTGCCTCAGACTCGCAAGTAGCTGGGATTACAGGTGCCTATCACCACCCCTGGCAAATTTTTGTATTTTTAGTAGAGATGGGGTTTCACCATGCTAGTCAGGCTGGTGTCGAACTTCTAACCTCAAGAGATCTGCCTGCCTCAGCCTCCCAAAGTGTTGGGATTACAGGTATGAACCACTGCACCTGGCCAGAAAAAAAAAAATCCTAAAATATATACGGAACCACAAAAGAGCCTGAAGAGTCAAAGCAATGCTAAGCAAAAAGAACAAAGCTAGAGGCATCACATTACTTGACTTCAATATATAGCATAAGGCTATAGTAACCAAAACAGCATGGTATTATAAAAATAGACACATAGACCAATGGAACAGAATAGAGAACACAGAAATAAAGCCACAGATTTACAGCCAAGTGATCTTTGACAAATCCAACAAAAACTTACTTTGGGGAGAAAAGACACTTTTTTTTTTTTTTTTTTTTTTTTAAGAGACCGCGTGCAGTTTAATTGTGGGGAGGCTGAGAAGAGCAGCATTTTTACCAAATTGGTGTAAAAATGAAACGGGATCCAGACGTGTACACTGACAGCTACAGTAAATTTAAAAATCCGAGCAGCAATTTGAATCATTTCTTGGAAAAAGAAACACTGACAAACACTGAGTTGGTGCCCTGGGCTGTCCGCAGGGCTGGAGGCCAGCTCCGCATCATGGATGCAGCCCGGCACTGTGGGCCTGCATCCCGGGGGTCCCGGCTCCTCGGAACTGGCTGGTGACCTCCCACACAGTGGGCTGAGCCTGGCCTGGCTGAGAGGGGGCCGCAGCCAGCAGGCCTGGGTGGCCACCTGCGCCTGCAGGGGACATTGGAGAAATGAGTGCAGTGTGCGGGACCCGCATGCTGCCCGAGGAGTCTTTGCAGGGTGGACAGGCCTGGGGGTCTCTACCAGCAATGCAATAAATATGCAAATACAAGCGGAGAAAGACCAAGCGCAAACCCCACAAGCACACAAGGCCCAGCCCGGTTCCTGCGGGCGTCGCCGGCTCTTCACAGACCAGAAGTCTCCAAGCTGGGCTCTGGTGTCCCCGAGGTGCTATGGGAGGCAGCGGGTGGGTGGAATACGCCTAACGCCTACGTCTAGCAGCCTTGGGGGGCAGCGGCCCTGGGCAGGGCAGGGTTCCATCGGCAGGACTCTTCCAGCCCCCGCTGCGCCGCGGTGAGGTAGGGATGGCGGAGCGGTCTCCAGTGGCAGTTGGGGGCGCAGGCCTAGCCCTCCCGCACGCTCACACGTGTGTGGCTCAGCCAGGGTGCTGATGATGGACTCCAGGCCGCTGCCCTCCAGGAGCGTGCAGTGGTCACCCTCGATGACGTGGACGGACACCTTTTCAATAAACGGTGCTGGGAAAATTGAATAGTCATATGCAGAAGAATGAAGTTGAACCCCTATTTCTCATCATATAAAAAAAAAACTCCTCAAAATCAGTTAAAGACTTAAATGTGAGACCTGAAGCTATAAAAATACTAGAAGAAAACCTAGGGAAAACTCTCCTGGACATTGGTCTGGACAAATAATTTACGACTAAGACCTCAAAAGCACAGGCAACAAAAACAAAAATAGACAAAAGGGATTTAAACTAAAAAGCTTTTGCACAGCAAAAGAAATAATCAACAGAGTGAAGAGACAACCTGTTGAATGGCAGAAATATTTGTAAATTATTCATCTGACAGGGAACTAATATCCAGAATATACAAGGAACTCAAATAACTCAACAAGAAAAAACAAATAATTCCATTAAAAAGTGGGCAAAGGATATAAATAGATATTCCTCAAAAGAAGACATACACATGACCAACAGATGTATTAAAAAATGCTCAATATCACCAATTATCAGAGAAATACAAATCAAAATCACAATGAGATATTATCTCACTCCAGTCAGAATGGCTATTATTTAAACACTAACCACATGTTGGCAGGATGTGGAGAAAAGGGGAACTCTTAGACACTCTTGGTGGGGATGGAAACTAGTACAGCCACTATGAAAAACAATATGAAGATTTCTCAAAAAACTAAACATTTAATTAGCACTTGATCCAGTAATACCACTACTGGATATCTACCCAAAGGCAAAGAAAAGAAATTGATATATGCAAGGAATACCGGCATTTGTATGTTTATTGCAGCACTATTCTCAATAGCAAAGATATAGAATTAATCTGTGTCCCTTATGGAAGAACGGATAAAGAAAATGCAGTATACACATACATACATATATTTATACACATCATGGAATGCTAATCAGCCATAAAAGAATGAAGTCATGTCTTTTGCAGCACCCTGGATGAAACTGGAGGCCATTATCCAGCTAAAATAACTCAGAAACAGAAAGTGAAATACCACATGTTCTCGCCTATAAGTGGAAGCAATGGGTACACATGGACATACAGAGTAGGACACATGGACATACAGAGTAGGACTAATGGATAGTGGAGACTACAAAAGGTGGGAGGGTGGGAGAGCAGTGAGGGTTGAAAAATTATCTATTGAGTACAAAGGTCACTCTTTGGGTGATGGGTGCACTAAAAGCCCAGACTTCCTCAGCATGCAATATATGCATGCAATAAATCTACACTTGTACCCTCTAAATATATTTAAACAATTTAAAAATCCGTAAAAAAGAATGAATCATGTCTTTTGCAGCAATGTGCCTGAAACTGGAGGTCATTATCTTAAGCGAAATAAGCCAGGCACAAAAAGACACATATCGCCATGTTCTCACTTATATATGGGTACTAAAAATTTTGATCATGTGGAGGTAGATGGTGGAAAGATAGATAGCAGAGACTGAGAAGGGTGAGTGTAGGGAGTGGGTGGTGGGGGGATGATGAAGAGAAGTGGGTTAAAGGGTACAAACATACAGTAAGATAGAAAGAATCAATTCAATTTTTGATAGCAGAGTAGGGTGACTATACTTAACAAGAATGTATTATACTCAGGCAGTAGACACACTGAAAACCCTGACTTGATCAGTATGCACTATATACATATAACAAAATTTCACGCATACCCCATAAATTTGCACAAATAAAAAAAAAGAAAAGATCAAAACACAGAAGCTCTCTGGAACTCACAATAGATTAACAGGGTGAATTCCTCCTCAGAGTGACTTCAAAATTCCTTTGGTTTATCTGGGCTTTGTAGGATCCTGCATCATTCAGAGTCAGATTGCTGATGGACAGGGAGTAACTCCCCCTGGCAATGTTTAGTTGGCCCCGGTAGCTTTTGGCCATAAAGGTTACGTTTTCTTTGGGACGTGCAAAAGCAAGAGCCTTTTTGGGACCAATCCAGATGACATGCTCAATCGCTGTGTCTACTGAGATGTTTAGGGGGAGAGTCACAGAACCCCCTAGGATCCCTGACACTATTGTTGGGGCTGAGTCCTTTCCAGAGGCTCTTAGTCCTGCAGAGATAGAAAAGGGACTTGCAGGAGCAGCTAGACTCCTTGAGCTAGCCTTCTTTCTTTCACTCTGTGAATATACATTGGGCATAAATGTCAGATGCTGAGAAATGAAATGAGATTGTTGTCCTCCTTCTTCTAGGCCCATTGCCTAGTAAAGTCATTAATTCCTCCATTCTCCAAACACTGTCTCCCTTAAAAGTAGCCACAACAATCTGTGAAACAGATCTTCTGGGTTTCTGTTCCAGTAGGGGAATTAGCCTTGTGACTTTGGGTACATTTCTGAATTTTTCAGTGAATCAGTTTACTTATCTAAAGGATTTAAATGCTCATACCTGCACCACTTTCTTCAAAGGATATGATAAAAATTAAATGAAAGCAGTTTGCTGCAAATTGTGAAGAGCCAATGAAGTAAAAAGGAGCATATTTTTAAAAACATGGGTGTGTAGAGGGATGGTTAGATGAACAGGTGAATGATAAAGCAAGCAAAGTAAAACATTTGTGTTAGAGCCTAGGTAGTAGACATATGAATGTTCAGGGTAAATGCTCCAACTTTTCTGAATGTTTGAGAATTCTCATAGCAGTGTCGGGAACTAAAGGAACTTCTCCTACCTCTACCTCACCCTATCTTTCCCTTCATTGTCCATGGGATCTCAGATTGACTTTGGCTTGGCCAGGTTTGGGGGTGGGAATAGCTGGTGGTACCAATACAGTTCCTGATTTCCTCATCTTAGGCAAGATCATATTCCTGATAAACATTGTTACCAAGGCATCTAGGAAGCTGGTATTTGGCCAAGGCAGCTAATTTTCTTGTAGGGACCCTGTGGGTGTCTTCTGGGTGACCCCAGCTTGGATTCCCAGATTCCAGGGCTTCTGAGGCTCTGGAGAGAACTTTGGAAATTCTAGACCAAATCAGATGGGTTTGGGACCCAGACTCCACCAGGAATTCTGGGTGGGAAAATAAGTAGAAAATGTTAGAGACAAAAAAGGAGCATAAGTATAGCCTGGAGGGGTGGAAGAAAGCGGAAGCAAGCTCTGAAAACCCAGAAGTTACAGAATATGCAGACACAGGAAGGAGAGAGGCTGCTTGGTGCAGGTCATGGGGGTTCTCTGCTTAGACTTCCATCAGTCAAGCACTTGCACCTTCTGGAGAGGCAGCTATGGAGCATGCAGGGCTAGGGATACTGGACATGAGAAGGTCAGGTCAGGTGGATTCTTTAGACAGATTCAAGCTGAGTTGATGTGAGGCTGGTTTGAGGTTTTCTGAAAGAGAGCCCTTTTCTTCTGGAAGACACTGCTTACGATTGCTATGTGTGCATTAGGTACTTTATGTAAATTATTTCATTTAATTCTCATAACTGTACTATAATTAGCCCCTTTTTACAGATGAGGAGCTGATATTTAGATAATTTAAGCCACTTCCCTGAGATTACAGGGTTGATCAGTCACAGAGTCCAGATCCTATGTCCATGATGCCCCTGGAGTAGGGAGGCCAGGAGTACTGTCCATCTGTATCCTGGAAGCTCAGAAGCTGCTGGGTTTTGGCTGGGGGTATTTGACTTGTTTTGACTTCAAATTTTCTTACGTCAGACAAAAATCATAAACAAAGCCTCACAGACTGTCAGTGGAGGGGACAGGATGTGGGCCTCACAGGGCAAATCTTGTTGCAGAAAACAGTGCAATGCAGCTCCCAGTACAGTGACAGCTCTCCAGTACCAGCCATTTTATTTGAATTGCACCATAGGATAAATCATAAAAGAGTGTTCAAAGATTGCAATAACTGAATTTGACTCACCTGTTTTTTAATAGTTTCCAAAGAATGCATATAACAGTAATTGATTATTATAATAACAATCATAGCTTCTGCCAACTATGTGCCACTATATATATATGTGTGTGTGTGCGTGTGTGTGTGTATAGATCTTCAATCTGTAAGAGTGTTGCGTGATGCATTCTACTTACTATTACACTTAAGAAATAGAGGCTCACACCACTAATAAATGATGGAGCAATATTTAATTTTAGATGTTCCTGATACTAAAGTGAGAGGGGTCTTTTCACTCGACTGCCTTTTAAGTTCCTGAAACGACTCTTCGGAGATACAAAAGCATTCTCCTTTCAGATCAAAAGAGTGAGATTTGAGGTCATCCTAATCAGTGGAGCCAGACTGAAGGATATGTCTCTTTGCTCCGATCTGTTTGAAATTCACTGCAATGATCATTTGAGGCTTGGATGACCTTGAATGTAGCTTATTTCAGGTTTGCTCAACACAATCAAGGAATATCCCAAAGGTTGCATGTAGACATAAAGAGCCTTGCTGCTTTCTGTGTTTTTTTGATGAGCCAAGATAAAATTGAAAGTGAAGAGAGGTCAGACTGGACCTCAGCCCTGAGGTCTAGGCTCCTTGTTCACCCATATCTGCATCTAGGAGTGTTTCTAGAGCTCCCCTCGGGCACCAACAGCCAACTCCCACTGCTCTCAGATCTCTAGTGCTACCTGCACCATCATCCCTGAAGCCCTGGACAAAGTGGGACCACAGAAGGACAGTAGCTGCTACAGTCCCAGGTGGCTGAGATCCTCTCTGGGGTACTAGACTGGCTCTATCTGCTGGACAGTGGGGTTCCGGGCCATGCAGCGGAGAGATGTTTCCCAGGAGTTGGGCCTTGATAGGGAGGAATAAGGTTGAGGACAAAAGGATATCCAGATAGACACCACCTTGCCGAGGGTCACCCAGCCGCCTCCAGGTCCCCAGTGAAGCCTCAGTAATAAAGCCAGCATATGTGATAACCAAGGCAGGATATGTAGAAAGAAGCTCCAGAAGTTATCTCCATCCCTAGGAATTGCTAGGTGGCTTCTCATCAGGGGATTTTCCTGGATCCCTCTGTGAGTTTTATCCACACTATACAAGGAACAAACTCATTACATACTTGGTATTTCTTAGGAAAGTGTGAGGGCGAGAGAAATGTAGTTTGAGCCCAGAGTTATTTGAGACCAGGGCTAGAATGCCACCCCCTTCATGGTACACGAGTATGCACACATGCAGAGTAATTTCCGGCAAGGCGAGGAGGTTCCTGGTTTTACCAACAAGAATTGGACTCACACCTGTAATCCCAGCACTTTGGGAGGCTGAGGTGGGCGGATCACGAGGTCAAGAGATCAAGACCACCCTGGCCAACATAGTGAAACCTCACCTCTACTAAAAATACAAAGATTAGCTGGGCATGGTGGTGCACGCCTGTAATCCCAGCTACTCGGGAGGCTGAGGTAGGAGAATCGCTTGAACCCAGGAGGCGGAGGTTGCAGTGAGCCAAGATTGCGCCGCTTCACTCCGGCCTGGCGACAGAGCAAGACTCCGTTAAGAAAAAGGGAAAAAGGAAAGAATCTCCCAGGCAGGGAATGCAACCCGCCTCAGAAGAGCACCAGTTGCAAGAAGTGGTGGCCATAAAGTGGACTTACCCATAAGCAGGAAGAGGAGAGAGGTCCATAGAACAGAAGAGAATATTTGCAGCTGACTCCTCTGTGGCTTACTGGAGAAAGGCCCAGGAGCCCAGTCTTGTGTGTGACTCTTTGGTGCCACCATAATGATCTATTTTCAGATCTGCGACTGAAGGAGGATGCACTTACCACAGCTTCCGCACGTGTATATGTGTGTGTGTGTGTGCGCGCGCATGCATGTGTATGTGTAAGTGTGTGTGTCTCAGAGGGAGGGTTGTTTATACGAAACACCACAGACTCCTCCCATCTGCACAGGCAGGTGAAGGTCCCAAGTCTATTCAGGGCCTCATTTGTGACTGATGTGGAGCATCACTTGCTTTGACATCAAGGGACTCGGGTTCTAAATTTGGCTCCTTAAGGTGACTGCTAAAGATCTCTACCTCCTGGCATTCATGCCTCTGTGTAATCACCTCTTCTTGAGTGTGGCCTGGATTTAGTGACCTGCTTCAAGTGAACAGAATGTGGCAGAGGTGCTGGGATGTCACTTCTGAGATCAGGTTACAAAAAAGCTGTCACTTCCATCTTAGGTTAGCATGTGTGTGCATATGCTCTCTCTCTTTCTCTTGCCCTCTTTCCTTCTCTCTCTTTCCCACTATCTCTGTCTCCCTACCAGGTATTATTTTGTGAAATACTTTAGGGAGAGGGTTCCAAACAAAGAACAGAGGGAGGTCCCTGGCCAACACCCAGCAAGGAGCTGATTCCTCTGGCCAGCAGTCCATTAGGACTGAGGCCAGCCAAGAATCACATGAGTGAGACTGGAAGTGGATCCTCCCCAGGAGGGCCTTGAAATGACTGCAGCCCTGGCTGACACCATGATGTTAGCTGTGTGAGTATCTTAAGCCAGAGGCACCCAGCTAAGCCATGCCCAGATTCCTTATCCAGAGAAACTGTAAGATAATAAATGCTTGGTTTTTAAAATTTTTTTCAATTTTTTATTTTTCATCAAAAATGCTTATTGCTTTTAGCTGTGAAGTTTGGAGCAATTTGTTACACAGCAACAGGTAACTAATACAGTGACCCAATACATTTTCTATTTTGCTCAAGGCAGTTTGTGCTAACTTTCTGTTACATGCAATGAAGGACTTTTTATATGGACAAAGGCATCAGGGAGACTGCAGTGGGGGTGGACATTGTATGTGACAATGTAGAGGTGACTGAGTTGAAAAGTAGGTGGGAGAACGGCATGATTCCCTATATCCTGACTTGGGAAACTGTCTTATTCTCCTCCTTCTTCTTGTCAGTAGTGTAATAGCTGGCTATGCTGTAGTTTGTGTTTCGGGCTTCAGGTCATTGGTTTACTTTGGCTGTAACATTAAGAGGACTTGGTAGGAAAACTTGAGGCTGGCAGAGTGTGTAGTTTTAGCTAATATTCGATGAAAGCTTACAGAGTGCTAGGCCGTCTTCTGACACTTTAACATATTCACTCATTTGATCTTACAATAGTTTTATGAGATATCTTTTATCATCCCCATTCTATAAATGAGAAAACAGAGATGGAGAGGGGTTAAATAGCTTACTATAAGTTTTATAGTTATTAAGGACTTGAACTCAGGAAGTCTGGGATCAAAGGAAGAAGGGAGAGAGAGAGGAACCATTAGGATAATAGGCTTCTGTCCATGGAAAGCATCTTTAGAGGCTGGTCACCATCTGATGTTGCACAATCTTGAAAGTGACAGAATCTCGAAAATCTTTAAATTTTGCGCAATAGGAGCCTGTCTTGTTTCACTCTAGTCTTGGTCCTGTGGCCAGAACATGGGCTGTTTAGAGGGGACTGCAGGACATACGGTCAGGAGAGGTTACCAGAGGCCAGATAAAGCATCCTGTTAGCAAGCTAAAGGCAACAAGGATACAGTACGAGTAGGAAGCTTCCTGGAGTTGCAGAGTGAAGAGAGAATGGGTGGAATGAATGAGCCTGGGGATGAGAAGACAAGTGAGGAATCTATTGAAGGAGTCTGGGTACAGAGCATGAGAGCAGGAACAGTCTGCGTGGGAGGCGAGGACAAAGGCAGAAGGGAGTTCAGAGAGATTGGTAATACTAAAAATCATCACTAACATTTATTGGGTAATTACTATGAGTAAGGCTTTGTGTTTAGAACTTTACATATGTTTTCTCCTTTAATTCTAAGATAAACCCTATCTGGATTATACTCTTATTATCCCCATTTTGGAGATGAGGAAACTGAGATTTAGGAAAGTAACAACACCGAAATGACCTCCTTTGAAGTTGTGACCATAGGAGGACACAGTCTTGTGATACACAAAATCCAATTTAAGTATTATCATTTAAGTATAGTAAAACCTAAATTAATATAAATTTTGGTATGATACATTTGTTAAGTGTGCCCTGTCCTCACATGGGGAGGACTAATATTCTCATCAGGACAGGGAGGCAAAGGCACTAGCATTGGGAATCAGGGAGCAACATCCAGTGATGTTGGCCCCAGCATCTCCAGTGTTTTCCTTCTCAGTATCCTTCAACCAGCCCAGCAAATGGGTGTGACTGACTGGAAAATTTTTGAAATCCCTGCTACTGTCCTGGGAGTCCAGCTAGCTACAGGCCCAAAATCACCCCCATCAACTGGGCATTGCCTCCAGGTGGCAGCAAACTCCAGCCTGGGTTGAGATTTGGGTCTGGCAGCCACAACCACAAACTCAGCTGTGTTGCTTCACCACCATCCCCCAACCAACCTTCATTCACTGTGCAATTAAGACAACCTTGCATTTTACACAATTGCATTTTTTTGGACTTTATTTTAAATGTTGTATTGACTTGTAGTATATATATGCTACCACGGATTGGAAGAATATGAAAGACTGTAGAATTTTGGACTCAAAGATTTTTACACTTAGATGAGAAGACAAATATATCTTCTCATTTATATTTCCTTTTTTCTCTTTTAATAGGAATTGGCTCACATGATTATGGAGGGTGAGTGGTCTCATGACCTGGTGACTGCAAGCTGGAGGACCAGGGAAGCTGATGGTGTAGGTCCCAGCCTGAGTTGGAAGGCCTGAGAACTGGGAGGCTGGTAGTACAAGTGTCCTGACCCATAACCACAGGCCTGATGTTCAACAGCAAGAGGGAATGGATGTCCTAGCACCATCCTAGCCTGGGGCTTTAGGGAGGCCTTTCCCAAGGTGGTGATGACTTGAGATGGGCAATAGGAGGGTGTTAGGGTGAGGTAGGTGAGGTAGATGGCAGACACTAGGGCAATCCAATCAGTAAGACGGCCTGAGGGAGTAGAGCTGCATTTACAAAAATGAGAAATCCTAAGGGGACTGCTTTAGAAGCAGTCTATGGTGACTGGAGTCCAAGCTGTGAGACTTGGTGACAGAGAGTGCAGCCAGGTAGGTTGGCAAGACACAAGCCAATCATGAAGGGCCTTCTCCACAAGGATTTTGACCCCCAACTTTAGCCTTGTGGGGGTGGTAGACCCCTGAGGGGTTTAAAGCAAGGCTGTGATGTCACCAGCATTGGCTTTTAAGTAGCTCGTTCAGGTGTTTCTCACCCTTCTTTCTTCTGTGTCCCCTCATCTTCATATCTTGTGACACATAAACCACCCGTGATTAAAGTGGTGACACTAAAAACAGGAACTGGTAGTAAGCTGACATTTACGCATGCATAGTTCATCATCTGCTGCCATGTGACAAGTAGTTCTGCAGGTGCACTTTGTGGCCCATTCTCTACCATGGTGCTTGCTCCTCCTTGGTCTTTTCATAGGTAAGTCCACCCCTCCACTGCCTCCCAGCCTTGTCTATTTGCTGTGTACACAGGTTTACTTTAGGAATGTGCAAGTTTCATTGAGGTGCTGCCTCTATGGGAGCCAGGCTCTGTGTGTGTATGTGTGTGTGCGCATGCGTGCGTGTGTGTGTAAGTCTGTGTGCATGTGCTATAATCTCAGGTCATGCAGGTCTAGACGGTGTCCTTGTGACCCTCACATCTCTTTGACTAATGTATCACAAGGAGCCTGAGCATTTCCAGAGAGGCTGAATTGTGGAGGCATGAGATGGTGGATCAGCCACAGTCAGTTCCAAGATGCATGTAGTCTGCATCGTGCCATTTCAGTCATGTTTCCAGAGATGTCCAGATTTTTAAGGACCTGTGGGGGTGTAGTGCCCTGGGATTTGTGTTTTGTATCTGGTCCTCTTGCATCTCTTTCCCTTTCCTCCCTCACCTGCCAGCCCCTGGGAGTCACCCTTCACCTGGAGTTGGGCCTTTCATGTCCCATAAGTGGTTTCAGTGGGGGAGCTCAAGCCTGGCACACAGTGGCAATTCCTGTCCCTGTGGATTCTCACTGCTCACTTCTAAGGATCTGAGAGATGGCAGGGGGATGGGCCTGGGGCTTGGAGGCTAGGGGAACACAGATCATGAGATATTCATGGTGAGGGGACAGGTTCTGCTCTTAATCTCTAGAGTTTCAAGCTTTCACTTTTATTCTCCATCAGGGGAAAACCAGCACATTCTCTTCTTACAGTTACCTGCCCTCAGGGTTGTTTTCACCCCAGCCTTTAGGGCTCCCCTTTAACACACTGATGAATCCCCTAGATGTGTTTAAACCTTGATAGTTCATCAAGAACTTTAACTTAAAGCTTTAAAAATGTGATCCCTGGCCGGGCGCAGTGGCTCACACATGTAATCCCAACACTTTGGGAGGCCGAGGCGGGCGATCACCTGAGGTTGGGAGTTCAAGACCAGCCTGATCAACGTGGAGAAATCCCATCTCTACTAAAAAATACAAAATTGGCTGGACATGGTGGTGTATGCCTGTAATCCCAACTACTCGGGAGGCTGAGGAAGGAGAATTGCTTGAACCCAGGAGGCGGAGGTTGTGGTGAGCTGACATTGCGTCATTGCACTCCAGCCTGGGCAACAAGAGCAAAATTCTGTCTCAAAAAAAAAAAAAAAAAAAAAAGTGATCCCTATAACAGTCTTGTGATATGGATAAGGCAGGTAGCATTTCACCCATTTTATAGATGATAGACTGAGGCTTAGAGAGATTACATGGCATCTTCCAGTGATCTGCGAAACTGAAAGTCAGCACAGCCCAACTGTAGAAACGTAGGAGCAACAAGGAATGTCTCAGAGAACCACAGTGTCCCTGACCAAAGACAGAACTTAAATGAAGAAGCTGGATTACTGCAACGTTTCTCACGCCTGTGCTTTTCCTCTTCCCCTGTGGAGCATGTGTATCG